TTTTACTGCTAGGCGAGTACAATAATACCAGCGTAAAACAAAATAACACGCACATAGAGTCGTAAAGTGTGCAGTATAAACAGAGTATAAAGTTGTGCGGAGCTTAATACATTCAATTTGTTTTCAGCGGCGGGTCGGTCGCCAATCCGGCCATAATTGTGCAGCGATAAACAATGCAACAATGATCACCACCGCCGCTCGCACGACCAACACCTACATTTATTTAATATAACATTAAATTTAAACAGAACATTTATATCACTTTAAAACGCTATTACGAACTTTTGGACGCTTCCAGTTTCTACTTTTACAACTATAAAAATCCTTAATGTTTAATATTACTTGCTCTGTAGACGCTTTTAATGATAATTTTAAATTGTTTACAAGCTTTAAAGAAAACAAATTTAATTCAAATCATAATTACATTCCCTTTTATATCATTTCAGATTTAAGATTACAATGATCCTTTTAGACAAAACATAGATTGCACTTTCTAAACCTTACTGTAGTAAAGTTTCCTTAAATTATGAGCAGAACAAGCCCTGAAACAAACTTTATCGTTTCGTCTGAAATCACAAAGGCTCAGGAGTACGAGAACGATGTCGCCGGCTGAGATTTTCATTTGCCAACTTCAATTTAATTGTAAAACCAGACATCAATTGTATAGTTTACTGCGAGAATTTCCTTCACAAGATCAAAGGTCATTGCTCTTAGAACAAACAACATCTAATTCAAATATCTTTTGTATATTTCATCTGTAATATGGTGTCTCGTTTTACAGAGTTATTCTCAGAACTAATGAAGTTACTTTGTTGCTGGATTTCTTTCAACTACTTAAGGATTATTTTTCTCTTTTAAGCATTGGTGAAAGTAGGATTAACTGAACACGTCTCTGTCGGCATCTCGAAATAAGCTTTTATCTTAATACACTCACAAAAAGTAAGACTTAAATTGCGTTGTTTTTCGAGAGGGGATCTCAACGTGTCGTACGAGAATTATTTATGAGCTCGAGATCAAATGCACGCAAATTTTTATATTTAATACAACAATATTTATTTATAAAAATAATACATGTTTTGTTCATAAATAGTTTCTAACGTAGTCATATTATTAATATTAATTCATTTTTAAATCAAACAAAAAATTTGATGTACTTTAAAGTCCCTAACTTAAGTTTAAAGAGATTTAGAAAAAAACTATACTTTATAGATTGACTTAGAATAGCTTCCATTAGAATTTTTCCTTAAGACAGGTATAAAGAAAGTATCTCTAGTCTTCCAGAGTTCTAGTCTAGCAGTAGCGAGGTTTTACGCAGCCTTAGAGATGGCAGCGAAGGGATAATTGATGAAGTCGACGTGACGGGACGCGGCTAATCTGAGCTCTGCACCTTCGACACCGGGAACTTTACTACCCTTACTACGTTCACCTCGCTTTACTTCTATGTTTTTATCATAAACTATTACGTACTGCCGCACCGAGTCACTTAAGGGGTACTTAATATGCGGATTATTTTTTTAGTATTTGCTTTTTCCTCGCAGACATTTAGGTATTGTTTTCGAAAATGAGTTTAGGTACTCATTACATAATTTAAAACACAAAAGCTCGTTATTGTGGCAAATGGTCGCAATTCAGTCGCACGCGGAAAAGCCGCGATCTGCCATCGTTACGTTCTATTGTGGCAAACTTCTAACAATGAAATTTAATTTCTCACCATAACAGGCTTTAATTCGGAATAGCGTAAAAGGATTTAATTTAATTAAAGCTATTTGTCATGAAAACATTCGGTTATGGTTGACATTGTTTATTTTTAGAATCGTATCAGTAAAAGAAACGTCACATAATCCTGGGAATTACGAGTGGTGTAGCGTTTAACAATATTTACATGGGTAATGGCTTCAGTTTTACATAAAAGTGCAAGCGAGTGAGCTTAGGCACACCAGTCAAAGTGGTCCAATTTGCATGTATTATGTGGACTAGCGATGCAGCCGTGGACAGGCAACGTATACCGGTTCTTTGAAATTTTTATACGCTATTCCCACAAATCGTACGTCGCTACATTTTATGAGCCATCGTGCCATGTGTTACCCGGCTTAGTTTGATATTCATAGTGCCTGTTCCGCTATCAAATTACTGTCCGCGTAATGGTTCTTTATCAGTATTGGATTATTACTATTTTAAATTTAAAACTCACTTTCTGTAATTGCTTTTTCTGCGCTTTTGTCTGTCGCCATCGTTTTTAAAATGCATATTCACCTTGTAACAGTGTGTAACGGCGTCGGGAGGAACAATTGCACTTGGTCAGAAGTAGTAAAGGAAATAAGTGTACTACTTTACTAAAATAAAAGCACATTTTTTTTAATAACAGATAACACCAAAAAATTTAATAACGTGTAAATGAGAACACCTAACGCTAGTTTTGCTGAGTCATGCAAAGCAGAATTTAAAAAAAAAACACTTTTGCAAACAAAAACTCTACATTAATTCACTGGCTGAAATCAATAGCAGCAAATCAACCGCAGCGCTGTTATTCTACAGCCCTAATTATAAAACCAACAAACGGCAACTAAACACTACATTTATTAACTCTTTGTTATTCACTGTCTTTGACACTAATAAAAGAAAAAAACTATGGGTTACAAAACAAAAAATCGTGATAAACCTTAACTAGTATTCGTATCAAATATGAACAAAATATCTTACGTTCAAGCAGAAATCTAATTAGGTTTTCTTAGGAGTATAATTTCAAAAGTATTATGTAATTTAAAAATACGATACGTTTTATAACACATACTTTAAAATTATATCGTGATATGATGAGGGTATTTTTAACGCGAGCAACTTTAAGAGCTCGGTGTTGGAAGCGGCGTCGGGTGAATTTCGTTGTTCTTTTTGTGTTGCTGTCGGCGGAGCTCACGCCGGAATTATTTACTATGTAACAGCACATGCACTTTATTTTGTACATCGTTTTTAGCATTGAAACCTTTCATTTTATGCATGGCAACATTTAAAATAAATTGCTGTGGTCTAAAATTTTACAATGTGCATCACATATTCAGTTTACGGTAAAACGTACAATATTTCTGCCCTACTCACAGTTTTAAATTACGATTATCTTTTGAAGAAGCTACCTACTTAAAATTTAATCCATTTAAAATCCATTTAAACAAAGCTATAATTATTAATAACTAGCTGTTCCCGTGCGATTTTATCAGCATAAAATTATTTTATTGTTTACATGTGTCAAATTGTCAATTGCAAATGTCAAAATGACATGACATGATAAAACTTGGCAATCTTGCTTCCTTGATGTTGACAGCAACTTATGGTCTCTTTCCCACATTAGGGTTTTTATCCAAAATAATTACCCCCGTAGTTTAATAGCGTGAAAATATATAGCCTAAAGAGTAACGTAAGTGTAGGGCTTTTTATTAAAACAAGATTTATTCAAATATATGCTGTGATTGCTGACATCTTAGGCAACAAAGAAGTGTGTGTTTACGCTTTATTATAATAGTATAGATTAAAAACGTAGTAACTATTTCAAGCTTCAAGCTTTTGGTTTTTGTTTTGTTGCAACCTAAATGAGTTCACTTTATTGTTGGAAATACTAATGTACTGTATAGTAGGCGCTTGTTTTAGAAAATTAAACAATTGATACGCTTAGTATTCAAATTACTTTATAGTGTATTGTATCTAAAAGAGACTGATATCAGTGTATGTTTTAGCGTCAATATAAATTGAGGTCAGTATGAGCGAGTAAGCGACCAGTCGATTGCACATTAGCAGGGCATTGTGTGGACGCGATCGTTTCGCGACAATGCACTACAATGCTCCGAAATAAAACACCTAAAGCGATACGATGCAATCGGTGGCCCATTGTCCGTTAATCTGTTACAAAAGGACTTCGATTTTGCAAGAAAATCATGACCGCTGTAATACTTGAAATGAAATTTCAACAGATTTTCTTTTGATAAATTTAGTAAGTGGTATTTTAAAAAAATAACGTTATACCAAAAACATGATAAAAAGACACTCCTCTACACACGCTAGTGGTAGCTATTTTATAACTAACATTCTAGATCTTTGTACATCTTTGGTTCCGTGAATTTAACCTTAATTAATACTTTTCCTGTCTATTATTTGGTTCTAAGTTGTCGCAAATGTATTAGTTTATTTAAATATGGTTGAATGTTAATAATGCAATTTACGTAAAATGGTAAGCACGTACACTAACACGTCAATTCCAGGTGAGAAGAATGTTCTTTGATCGATTCTTGCACCGTGCATCGCCAAGAAGTAATTTCCTCTACGTCACCAGCATTCCTTACATCCTGACATCCTTCAGCGGCAATTCTATATTCAAAATGACGTTGAAAAGTAAAATTTTTTATATGTTTTATGTTTATCCGGGATAAAATAAACTCAAACATAAGTCAGCAATAATCATACTTTACTTGTTACTTAATATTATAAACGCGAAAGTGTACATGGATGGAAGGATGGATGGATGAATGTTTGTTAAAGTTTGTATCCTAAACAGATACGCATAGTCTGTAAGAACATATAGGCATACTTTTGTTCTTTTTATTAATTTCGCACGGACGTAGTCGCAGGCTTAAACTAGTTTCCAACAATTTCTGTATAAATAAAAGAATACAACATCCATTAGTCTGATAAAAATTTACAACAATAAAATAAATTAAGTTTAATTATAAATTATTTCAATTTTTACAATGAAGTGTATGACCCATATACCAAGTCGCCAACATTTTGACGAGTATTGCACAATGCGAAACGACTCGTGATGTCTTCGCTTGTAAATCCACGGTCTTGATACTTTGATTAGACTTCCTCGTATATACGACACTAAACAGATCGTAAATATTTACTGCTTATTGCACTGAATAGTTGGAGGTTGTAGACACAAACACAATGTTCAAAGTAAATCTAAGATAAAGTATAAGACATTTAATTAAGTTCTCTACAACTAATGATCACTTTTTAAAAATAACAAGTTGGTGAACGTGACTAGGACTAACGGAACAAGTTTTGACATATCTAGATATTTCATTGCTATTTTTTAATAGCACGCTTCGTTGAGTTTCCACTGATGGTTGACAATTTATGGAGCCATTTACGTATGACGGAGAGATGATTGCAGGACATCAATAGTGGGGTAGGTCAGTCAATAGTGGCGACAGCCGATAGGTCTTGTCTGACGCCGGCCGCACGTCTGCCATCTTGTTTGTATATCGAACATATTCAACGTGTACTCCACATTGTAAAATAACGCTAACCAAATACAAGATACATGTAATATTGGAGAATAATGCTAGGAAAAAAACTTGTTTTGCAACTACACCGAGGGATTTATTATACACTAGTTGTTCCCATGCGGCTTCATCCGCATGAAATTATGAAAAAAATATTTTATTGTTTACATTTGTCAAATTACCAATAGCAAATGTCAAAATGACATGACATGACAAACCATGGCAATCTTGCTGCCTTGATGTTAGCAACAACTTATGGTCTCTTTCGCACATTAAGGTTTTTATTCATAATATTTACCCCCTTAGTTTAATGGCGTAAAAATATATAGCCTAAAGCATGACGTAAGTGTAGGCCTTTTTATTAAAAAAAGAATTATTCAAAAATATGCTGTAGTTGCTGGCATCTTAGGCAACAAAGAAGTGTGTGTTTACGCTTTATTTTATTGAATGGAGTATAGATATAGATTACGGAAGTAAGTTACATTCCATATTTTTTAATATCATTAAATATAAATGCATATAATACATGTAAGCTTTTAAGGCAAAGGATATGCACGTGTTAAATATGTACACGCCCTTGCCCGAGTTTCCAGAACGTTGACAGTGAATGAACTTGTTATAGACTCATCAACGGATGAACGAATACCGCTCACGGTCTGATAGACACCTTCAAAGCAGCCAGCGCCCTTTTATCTAATCTGATACATTATAAAATAACACACCGATAGATATTAGTCTAATGTTCACTGTGATCATTCATATAAAAAGTTATAGAAGTTATAAATAATGAGTATGCATATCATAAGATAAGGGTTACTTAAGCGCAAGGATTACATATTCCAAATTAAATTAGATAAGTTGAGAAGGTTGAATTGGAGAGGGTACGGAAAAGTTTAATGTCTCTGAACCTAGTTATGATGTATTACAATGAATTGAAAGCAAAAGTTACACAATTCAAATATTCCAAAACGAAATGTGTTCACTTCCCTCATGTACATAAGATACATATTTTCTATTAAATTAATTCAATCTATACTATTATAATAAAGCGTAAACACACACTTCTTTGTTGCCTAAGATATCAGCAATTACAGCATATTTTTGAATAATTATTTTTTTAATAAAAAGCTCTACACTTAATTCACGCTTTAGGCTATATATGTCACGCCATTATACTTAGTGGGTAAATATTTTGGTTAAAAACCCTTATGTGGGAAAGAGACCGTAAGTTGCTGCCAACATCAAGGAAGCAATTTATTGCTTATTGTTTTAACAAAATTTTTATAATTTCATGCGGATGAAGTCTCACGGGAACAGCTAGTAGTAAAATAAATCTATTTTAATCCTTTTCAGATATTGTAAATTCCTAATGTATCAAGATTAAAAATAGTACGTCGGTGAAGCGTGTCCATTAGAATCAAATCTGATATAAATAAAAAATCAATACTGACTATTGTATGCGCGGTTCACACTAGGCCAGTACAGTTGGACAATTGCGCCGGCCAGTCATAGATTGTATGGACTCACTGACCCCAGTTAGCGTTCACACCGTGCCAGTTGATTGCTAGACCAGTTATTGAGCAACACTGTCCAACTATACTTACTTACGTAGAAAACTGTGAAATTGTATGCAGGGGTTTTATAATAAAACCCGCTATTTGGTTTTTTTATTCAATTCTAAATTCTGTAATTTACCGCACATTTCTAGTAAAAGGCTTTAAGGCTGAAAGTTAATGTAATTTTACTTTTCTAGCTGTCAGTGGACAGCTGTCATTTTTGATGAATTATAAAAAAACAGATTTACTTTTCTAACTGTTTATTTTTATTTTTTTGGTGGAATAATTTAGTATTTGATATATACATATTTAATATTGATTTACAATTTTGATATATTACATAATATATTTGATTATTTTCTATAATTTACATTTTACGAAATGAATGATGATGAAGAGGATGAATTCGTACTGCGGCCGTTTGAACAGGGCCATTGGGAGTGGAGTGAGGATGCTAAACAGTTGATGTTTATGAGGTGATAAAGACTTTTATACGATACGAATCATCATTATCAGTTGGCCTTTGTCCCTACGGAGGGTCGGCACAGTAAGGCGGCTCTTCCATACATCTCTATCAGCCGTCATATCTTAATTCACTCCAATCTTAAGCAAGTCTATACTTTCTTCGGTCTTCCTCTACCTTTCTAGCCATTCATATTCAATCTTAAAACTTTTTTGTCTATGTCCTCATCCTCTCGTTACATAATAATTATGTAGGTATAACGATACGAATAATATATAATTATCACATTTACCAACCAATTACCACATTTAAAAACCAATTACCAACGAACCCTTATTAGTGTAGTATTTTATTTCTATAGATATTTGCACATTCCTGCACATTATTGTGTATTATTTATGGAAGCAAGACCCAAGACTTTAAGCTTAGAGCGTTCGATAAAATGGTGCTGTTTGTGTGATATTTTCTAAAAGCGTCTTTAATATTGATATTTCAAATCTAATTTTAATGTTAAAATCCCAACATACAGAGAGGTGAAGACTATCGACATAGATGTACAAGAAGTACAACCACAGAGTATTAGGAAAATGGAATTTAAATACGAAGTTGATTTGCTGGAAGAGGTAAATATGAAACACGATTGATTATTGTAATATTACCTTATAATCTAACAAATATATATTTTTAGCAAAGGTTTAAAAAGCATTTTCAAAGACAACTTATCGAAGAAGATGTAGTAAAGTTACAGGTAAGTTATTGTTGCTAAAAATAAGTTATTTGTAAAATCGATTTGCGGACGATAATTTTACGTGAAACGTCGCAAGCCCAAAGCTGATCGTGCCGCTCTGTCGCTTGTGCGCTCTCGCTCATACGCTCAGCTCTGGCGGAACGTGACAATGAGTCATGTTTTTCGTGTATGCAGCCGACGTCTATTAATTTCACTTCAAAAGATCAAAGCATAAAATTCAAAATTGTTGTAATGCTTTTAGTACTCAATAATATTGATTGTATCTTTCAGGATGTAAAAGATATTGTTCTGTTTTGTGCACCTAAACCATTAATAACCCGAGATATTATAAATGTATTACACATGCGCGTTATGGACAGGTTTCTAAGAGCCTTAATATTTTATTGCCAGTATTATTTACAGGTATTTTTTATTTTTAAATAAATTATTGAACAGCAGAATGTTACCTTTAATTAAGTCTTGAAAACCCTAAATATGATTGTGTAGGTCGCTTCAATAATGGCTGATAGAATTTTAGACTTGCAAAGTAAAATTAAAACGACATTTGGTAAAAAAATTGAAGAGAGATATGAGGAAAATCTAAGAGACGTTCGCTTGTTATTGGCCAAGGAATACTGTTCAATGCTTCTAGGTAAAGATTTTTTGTTTTTGAATTCCCTTTCGAATTAAATTTTTGAATATTCTTGCACCATTTACGTAAACTTTTAGTATTATGCTAGGAATAGTTTACGACAGTATTCGTATGGCGGGATAATTGAATGCACCATTGCAATGCTTTGATAGAATAGTCAATTATAAGCAAACTAAAGCAACAGTGTGTAATTACTTCAGATCTTAACCTTGGCTGTTTTTAATTAGGTTGAGTTTAAAATACATTTTTATCCCTGCCCTAATAAAATTAGTGGTTCATATTTGTTTATATGCGCAAATTTAAATTATTAAAGTCTGGCGGAGATATATGGTGACTATGAAACGACCAATGATACTTTTTGTAATGGAAGTGTCTTAATCTGTAAAATATGTGCTTATAAATTTATCTAATATTAAAGTAAGATTATCAGAGAACTTATGTATTTCTAGGTACGGGAGAATATCTCAAATATCACCATAACAAACTTGGAACAGCAAAATCTTTGTCGAAAAGGGATAGCGTAGTTTTCGAATCAGTTTTACGTATTAGCACTCATATTGCTTGGATTGCCCTCGGAAGAAAATCGTTTCAACAAATCGGTAATTTTAAAACATTTAAAAAATATTTTATACAGTGGTATTAAAATATCACGACAAGTTATGAAAGAAAAATTGATTAAAATTTCGAAAACTTTGTACACCGGTGACCCTATGATAAGGCTATAAATTTTTCAACCAATAAATTAGTAAATATTTAAAAAGTTTCGATTAAATTCAACGCGTCAGTGACTTATAAATTAAAATACCTAATAATCTTCTAGGATTACTATATACTTGACTATACCATCTATTCTGTAATCATACCACAATTCCTATTTAGTTTATTGACATATTGACATGTCAGCTAGTATATATTAGATTCGATTTATATTTGCATATCTATAGTCAGATATTAATTTCAGAACTGGAAATACAAAGAGTGTTTAAATCGAATACATTTAACGTTGTAAAGCACTTTTTAAAAACTGACTTCGAGAAGGATATGACAGCGGCGGAGCATTCCGTGTTGTACGGCTCGTGCGAGCACAAGGAACAGATCATGGGTATACACTCGCCGCTGCTGAGCGAAGTCACCTGCCATAAAAATGCAATAAACTACAGATTATTTGGGCTGGGTGATTTTAAATACCCTCAGTTAGTTTAAACTATTATCTTTCTGCTTTTTTGTGACCCAACGCTGTATTGACATCAATTTACTTATTAATTTATCCGTCACTCGTTCTCTAGTATACCAGTGTTTATATTAATTACAGCTTAACTTCACGACTTCTCTACTTTAAAAATATATTAGTAGCTCCTGAACTGGAGCTAGACCAGCTGGGGCTCACACTAGGTATCATAGGTCTGCCCCGGGAGCGCTTCGACACGATGCTGCGGGAGGTCAAGAAACAGAGTGCCACTACTTCTTCGGCGAGCTTGCGTAAAACTGCTTCACGGTAAATTTTATTTGTATCTGTCATTTTATTTAAAAAAAAAGCAGAAATATAAGTGTAAGTGTTTGACTAAACTATCGCATACTGTTGTGCGATTGTCGATTGTTTCGCAGGCATTAACAGTTTAGTTGCAAAACTAGAAATCGAGTTATGTGCGCCCGTCCATATAAGCGCATAGGAATCTAAGCGAGACTACAGTTGTGCGACAGTTTAGTTTCAGGTGTGCGACGCTCTAAAAACAAGCAAAGCCTTCTCGATACGGCTACATTCAGCTTAATTGCTTCCATGCGTTTCAGAATGTCTTCAAGTCGATCCTCCGCAGGAAAGAGTACAAAGGGTACTTTCCTCAATTTACCATTGTATCCAGATATAATTCTTCCCGAATCTCGCCCTGATCGCAGGTAAAGTGAAACAAATCTTAAATGTTTTAGGTTCTTATAGGTTATTTTAGATTTTTTGTAAACTTATTTTTATATTTGTCGTGTCTAAACATTATTTGATGTGATACAAATCTTTAAGTTTCAATAACCAATGTTAAGTTAATATAGTTAATTAATTGCAGCGAGGATCTGGCAGACGCATTTCCTGGTGTACCTATCCCGATCAGGCATAGGAAGAACGAGCAGCGCTTAAAATGGTTGCGATACGCAGAACCATACCGAAGGAAGAGGCTTCAAAGTTTGAAGAACAAGTAAAAACTGTGTTCACTTGATGGTCACTTTGATATATGATATATACATAAATAAATGTAATGTTACCAAAAGATTGTCCTCAAAACGTCCTAAATAATTGACAAGTTTGTATTGTTTATTTATGCAAAGTTTATTAGGATATTCTGTTTCTATTTTAACTAATTTTTTCACTTTACATGGCATTGCAGTGTATCCCAGATTCTGATACATGAGTCAATGAAAGAATTTAATGTTGCTAGGAATAAACTTTGGCCTAAATGTCAAGAAATTACAGACTTATCAATCGTATATCATTTCCCGACAGGTTAAGTGGTAGAAATTGATTTCCGGCACTACAATTACCCTGTCAGAAGCTATCCTTAATATTTTATGGAAACCTTTCGTTAATCCTTTTCAATAGGTTTAATTTTAAAAGTTGGTTGACACTTAACAGTGTATATTTATCGGGGGTTAACTGAAAATAGTTAACGTATGTTATAAATATACAAAGTTTAAGTCGAACTGAATCCAAGTCACTTGTTTCAATCATTATTTTAAAATTATTTAAACGTATATTCTCCTACAAACTAAGTTTACCTACCTAGATTTTCTGCAATAGTAGACTAGAGTCTATAAGAATTAATAGGGAATCATTAATTCAATAAATACAAGGTAATAATTATTTTAATGTAAATAAATAACTAAAAATAAACTTTACATAAAACTTACGATAATAACGTAAGCGTAAATTAAATTCTTCCAGCGGTTACCCATTGAATACTAAATGGTATCACTATTAAGGGTGTAAAATTCTGGCAAGTCGATTCAACCAGCGGTGACGTTGCACGTCGCTGCACGGCCGGATCTCCTCGATTGCGTCGGGGAAATGCGTTGGGAAATACGACCTGAAAGTATGTTATTTCAAACAAAAAAATGTTTGTCACATCTTACTTGATATTCTAACATATGACTCGATAATCTTTGGTACAAGTAATTTTTTAATTAGTCTTCCTAAGAATAACACGACCGCAGAAAATTATTCACGACATGATAATCTAGATTCCTTCCTTCCCCGGGTAAGCTCAGGTTTCTGTAACGTTCTTTTCATTACATTCGTAATTCAAAACTACCATTTTATACTAAACTAGGTCTTAACTTTCTATTACTTACGTCTTAGCCTCTTTTTTTGGCAAAATAATATCCGAGTATAATTTTAGAATTACGTTTTTCTTTACTGACACAGAGCTTTTCGTGCTAGCGCTGTATGAACTTGTGGATGACCTGTATGAGAAAAACTCGGTATAGTTACAAAAGCATTATTTTTTGTATCAATATCAATAAATATCCCAGTTGGGTTTCTGATTATTAATTTTAAACTTTAAAGAAAAGTTACGAATGCCTACTAGATTATCGATATCTTAGTAGTCGAATGATACTAACATAGATGCTTTTGATTTGCCCTCCGTGACTGCGGGTAACGGTCTCAGCATCGTGTCAAAGATAGACCGCGGCAACCCTAAAATCCCCAACACAATACCAAACTCCGCCAGCGACTCCTCGGGGCCTGCCACTGCTCGCTTCATGTACAACGTTCTCGGTGAATATCTACACAAATATTGCTTAATAGAAAACCTATAATAATACAGCTGAAATATTTGAAAGCGGTTTTTCAAGCTAAATTAAGTGAAGTTTATTCTTAGAAACTATCAAACGATAACTGTAGCAGGGAAATTGTTTAAAATCAATACTCACTGATTATATTTAACAACTCCTAGACTTAATAAACGAAAATCGATATCCCTATGACAGAAGACTTCGTTCATGAGCGGCGAGCGGGTGTTTAGCTTTTTATCACGACGTAGGCAGATACCGAGCAAGGCTTCCCGCTCCTCGTTCATCATCTTTGCCACGTAGTCGGTGTGTAACGTGTGCTCTACTGTATTGAAGGTCTCCGATTTAAATATACGATTTATTTCCAATTCTAAAACAATTATCGTTGTTAAGTTACAGGGTATCCAACTATTCATCATACTAATCATACTTCATACTGATATTATAAATGTGAAAGTTTAGATGGATGGTTGGGTGTTAGAGTTTGTAGCCTAAACGAATGAACTGATTTCGATGAAATTTGATAAAGATGTGGAGGATATTTGGGAACAAACAATACATAGGCTGCTCACTTGTTTTTTTCTTTAATTCCACGTACGGAATCGCGGTCGAAAGCTATTGTTAACATATAGGTAAAAAGGACCTCAATTTCGTAAGTTTTTATTTTATCACAGAGTATCCAGACTTCCTAAGACAGTTTATATCAGATAACATTTCAAGCGTGACTTAAATATGGACGCTACAAACCTATCTGGTTGAAAGCTTTTCTACCTAGAGCCAGCCACACAATTTGCACCGTCATACGCAATAACGTTTCAAAAAGATGCGCGTCTTTGTCCGATAGCGATTTTCTCTTCTTCTGTGGGCCCATGTGATGAAATTTTCGCGTATCTCCACCGCCTGAAAGTAAGATATGATGTACAAGATAATTTTACAATATATAATTACTAAATTGATTGTAAGATTTCATTTTATTATTGGTTTTTGTTGCCTTAATGTATCATGGGTCAAGGCAATGTAATAAAAATCAATGTGGTCTGGTTTTGGAATTTACAGGATAAAAGTTATATTTTAAACAGTACACACCGATTAGCATCGTGCTGTATTCCTTGCCTACGAGCACTCGTAAATCTGATAAATTATCTCTGAATTCATTTTCCAGCATGTCACAATACGGCGTTCGAACTTTGGCTTCCAGTTCCAACATACGTCGCGCCATTTCATCTGCAATCTATAGCAATATTTTAAAATTAACCATTACATACGACTAACACCGAAGCGAGCTATATCTAAATTTATAGACCTGTAAATAATACTGCGAATACATTATAAGCGCGCGTATGAATCTTTCTGTAGTAGGTAAATGTAGCATATTTATCAACATCGGGCTCAACAGATTGACTGGCGCTGTGAACAGTGCTATATCCTTCACGTCCTGTAATTAGTGAATATTTATAGACTTTTTGCATTACAAAATATTGGAATTCAATACTTTGATTGAACAGTTTATTGAGAAATTGTGAAAACAAAGTACCTGCAATGTAATAACATCAGGTTGACCAGGTTTCAGTTTTCTTTGATATCGCCGTCTAAAACGAATCTATACACAGATATAAAATGGTTACCTGTTACCTTCTCTACACCTAAAAACATATAAATTAAAAACCACGTCGATAAAAAATTTAAAGTAAATAAAATCGATACCTGTTCTATTAAATCTACATCGTCTCTAAATTCAACAGCCCCTGTGAGCGCCTTAGTTGGTATTTGAATTGTTTCTATAGGTTTTGGCGGGAGATCGCTGAAAATTACAACTTTACTGTTTTGTAAAAGATTAGAAAGTATTTTAAAAAGAAATCAGGGAAACATATTCGTAGTTTATCGAAGAGATTTTCTTGCGTTTCTAGTTTATGAATTATTTTTTTTACTTTTCGTTTGTATGTTTATTTATTTTTATAATCTAAGCCTCACCTAATAAATATTAAAGCTTGTGTAGAGTCATCCCAAACCCAGTGCCCGTCTTCATACAAACCACCAAACCCTCCTTCGTCTTCTTCGTCGGCCATTGCTTTATTACACAAGTCTTACCTTTATCAGTAACAATATCTAAATAGCAACAAGTTCTTTATTCACTAAAATAAATAATATAAATTCGGTACAAACGCATACATCTATAAACTGTCAGGTTTGACAGATTTTCAACTTTTTTTTCGTTGAGTTTTAAAGCGTACACTTTTTATTTATTTCTTTTTCAGGAATCAAGCAGTTTTTTTTTCGCTATAACAAATACGTACAGAAGTAACTTATATACGCGGTGAAATGTAAATTTTGTCCCTTTATATGATAGTCAGAAATGTTATATGTATATGTAGACATTAAAAGCAATGTTAATACACAAGTATTCTTGTCCCAATAAGGGCAAAAATCTTCCCAAGCACGTCTCCAGGCCGCCACATTATTACCTTCAGAATGTATTTACCAATGTACGTGATTCACTGCGGCTATAACTTGCGAATTACAATTTTCGAAACGCGTATTTGTAAGTTTGACAAAATTTACGGCGTCACCAGTAACTTCTTACCGACCGACGCCACTGAATATAAAGTTATGTTAATGTACCGAATGCACTAACTTCAAACCTTAAAACTTACAAAATGTTCAAAGTTATTACCAATCCGAGATGGACAGTCTCGCATGAATATCAAATATTTCAACTTGGAATTGCAATGTTCGATAAATGTACATTCGGTAACAGAATTCTAAAGGAAACTATGGAAACTATTGCCTGTGGAGTTCTTTAACATTTACTTGTATTTAGTATCGCAACCCCTGTGCATAACTAAAACGTTACTCTCTAACGGAGTTATCCTACTATCAGGTTTTGTCTTAGTTTATGGTTGAATAAACAATGTTCCAAACCTTCCACATAAATGCGGTTGATTCGTGTGGCATATGCATATATAGCTTAAATAAACGGTGAGAGAACAAGTGTGTCAGGTGTATTAATTCAATGAACCTGATCACAGGCGATTGCTCGCGGGCTGCGCAGAGCTACGGGACTGCGGGGCTGGCGCTGCCCAGCTTTGATCCTGTGCGCTCCAGCGTGTGATCAGATGAGTCTCTGCTTAGCGACACTCCACTGACGATTCTCGCTGCTTTTCAAATGTTTATTTTAGATAGATTATTTTATATTGTAACCGTCTAGCTGTTGGTTTTATTTTGTATGGTATATAGAAATGATATCGTTTATAATGTAAACCACAATTAATGTAATTAAAACTTAAAGATTGCTAAGAATTGCTTAGTAAAGTATCCCTTATTAATGGATGTAGATTTATCAGTCATTAACATTTCAGTCATCATCGGAAGGGTTACGTCATAGTAAAGTAAGTAATACTTTAACACTTTATTTCGTCAACTTCTTTGGAATAGCCGATAAGTGCAATATTAAATAATGCTACTTGTACGACCTTTGTATGAAAGATTCTTATTTAAACTTATTTATACTTATTTTAAATTAATCACATTTTTGTTTCCTTGCCTTTAAATTGGTAACTCAAGGTACCATTTCTACAAAACGTTAACAAAACGCTGAATCACAAATCTGAATGAGCACCTCTTTCCACTCCATTTCACCTTTATTTCCAAACTTCCAAACCGACGAATCGAACGATTAAATTCAACCAATAACTTTACTTATGCGCTCGTGTGGAAATATATCAAACAAAAATATGTGAAGAAATTAGAATGATTACCAAAAGGTTTCATATAGATCATTATAAAATCATACTTCATGCTTATATGTATTATTAATGCAAAAGTTTAGAGAGATGGATGTTTGTTAGAGTTCGTAGTCTAAACGGCTAAGTGGATCTGGATGAAATTTGTCTTAGATGTAGAACGTAGTCTGAAAGTATAAATGGTTTATTCAATTTTGTTTTTTTTTTAATTTCACGAGGACGGAGTCACGGGCAAAACTAATATTTTCATAAAAACAATTCACTAACGGTACTATTAGATGTTTTTTGTCAACGAATGGCCAAGGGTATCTTGATCATAGATATATTATTTTTTGGAATAATGCTTAGACTAATTATTTTTGACTGACTTCCCAAAAGAAGAAGATACTCAATTCTTTCAGTTTTTTTACTGGCATATGTACGAAGTTTTCAAGTAGTCGTTACTTTCATATTTTCTTTAAACGCTGAGCAATTTACGTGTAATCAGGCGTCTCGGCTCGTCACCCTGCGATGAATATTCATGTCGTGATCGATGCGCCTCGCTTTGTTCATTGTAAACACGTGTACGTGTCCTTTGAAGCCTGCATTGTATTACATTAAATGTTCCATTCATCTTAAGCACCTGCATATATTAATTAACTTTCATCCCTTTAAATGTAATATAAAGTAAATAGATTGTTTATTCTTCGCTCTCGAATATTAAGTTTTTTTTTTAAATATTCAGTTGATGTCGGCATTAATTGGCATTAATTGATTTTCGTATTGAGTTGATAAGCTTTTTTTTTCGGAAAGTATGACATAATTTTTATGGATTTCTTCTGTGGATATAACTCGATTCTGCTGTTTTTTTTTTCTAAGTGAATCAAGGGTGATGTTTATGTGCAAATTATTGAATGGATAGAAGTTAGAAAGTATCTCTAGAACAGCTCAACATGTCTCAATGAATTTGGCGTAAAACAGTCTGTCTACATACTCAAAACCGCGCGGACGTAGTCGTAGGCAAAAGCCAGTTTTTTCATAGGGTGTTAAAAATAAAAAGAAAAACATTCACTTTATTTAACTTTTTTATTATGTTGTGGCGTACTTTCTGCACTCTGTCTAGGAACCATACTTAAGTTAAAAGTTAAAAAGTAATAATAATATTGAATCCAAAAATATAAAACACCCAACGCACAATACACAGATGTCATCATCAAAGGTAAAAACGGTAACGCTTTGTCCAGACCTAACATAAAGTGTATCGCATTCTCATAAAACCATAGACCTATCAAATTATACAAATATAAACATTCCATTCTATTTAACATTGGTAAACGGAGTTTCCGAATTCTTCTCACACCTTTAGGTTTGGGAACTACGTATAACGCAGGCACGAATTCAAACGCAATCGCACAATATGTTAACAGTAAAAATAACTTAATTCCTATAAGATTTTTAGGATAAAGTAATGGGAAAAGAGAATAAATTCCAACTGTAGACAGGAACAAGAATAATCTCCCATCAACATCTCCGAGTACCGCTAGAAAACTGAAAAAAAAAGCTTTATGATTTTTTTTGCGCCTTACAAAATGTTATATTCATGAAACATTAAAAAATTTTCACCTTAATGGTATTAAAATCATCAATATGGCTTTCTCGTGGACATGCCAACTAAACATAAATGAACAAGTTGCACATAGTGTAATGCATCTGAAAAATAATTTTCCGTTATATTGAAAAGTCAAAAAATTCCAATTAGTACAAATGTTGTACTAATTGTACTTGACACAACTAACAAAAGATTAATATTAACATTACCTTATAAAACTCATAGCTCTATATTTTCTATCCGCACATAGATTCCACAGCTTAATAAGAGCAGGAACCATAGATAATAGAGTTAATATAAATGTGATAGTCGGTGTTATCGTTGGCAGGACCACATGGTGATATTCTTGCACAAGGCCACCCGTCATTGACGCCTCACTAGACGACACTGATACATCAAATATAAGCACTGAAAAAGTAAATAACTTTATTAAAAATAGTACTTTTAGATATGGCAACACTTTATACTCTCAGCACCATCTTTCCCTTTTGTAAAACATGTTTTTTACTTTAACCCAAAGATAATATTTTGATAGTGACAATTCAATATATTGTATGAAATGCAATTATTTATTCTTAAAAGGTTACTTACATGAATATTGTAAAATTTTATCTCCAAGATTATACAAAGCCCAAAAATTGGGTGCCCAATATGCATGACATAACCCTCTCTTGAAGGGGAACAGTCTTGATAAAATCTAAAATTTTACAATTAATGTTATAAAATATATTATTGTCATTTCGTTTGAAATCAAGATGTAAAAAAATGAATTTACCTGCGGAATGTGATGAATAAAAGGTCCAAAAGATAAAGTAAACACAGATATAACAATAATTGCCAATTTTATCAAGTTCCTTGAAGAAAATGAATACCATGCGGTGTGCACACCATCTGTAGACGCCACCGTAAAACAATATGATCTCAATAAATAAACCACATACACTGGAGCTATGTATAAAAATATATGCTTTAAGTTTAATAATACAGAAAACCAAAAAGCAGCCCATAAATAATTTCCCTGAAAAAAAAATGTCTAGTTATAGAAAAAAATTTAAAACAAGTCAATTTTTAAAAAACAATTTGTAACTTTAGAGTGAACTTACCTTAATCATACTGAAAATAGAAAATAGAAGAAATGCATATAAAAATCCATTATATTGAAAATGTATATGATCAACCATCAATAATCCAGGGTTTGCTATTAACAAAATGAACACTAGTAACTTTCCTTCATTAACCAGACTGGACAAGCTGAAATCAACATTTACCAAGTTCATTAAGCAACCAAACATGAAAATTAGCTTAAACATACTAAAAAAAGATTAAGATGCTTACCATTTGGCACTATAGATATAAAAACAGTCTAGAATGATCACTGACAAGCGTTGGAATATTATAGTCATTTGTGACTCATAGTTTAAGTTATGTATTTTTACAATTTCTGGATCCAATAATTTTGCTATATGGGATAGTCCATACTCCAACCATGCAAAGAACGGAGGATAATCTAACGTCCATTCTGATGTAGACTCGTAGTACCACTGGTCAGTTGTTAAATTATGAGTTATTGCTAACCAGTTGCGATGAACCTCAAAGTCTGTTGAGTGACTGAAAACCACAAATAAGAACATTTAATTAACGCTAAATTCTCAATTAATAAAGGAAAAGAGGTTGCATTATGTCATACTCACTATAAAGGTATGAAAAACAATTTAAACGCAGTAAGTAGCACTGTTATTTGAAAAATCATTTTTCCGTATATTAAATCTTAATTTAAATGATCGAATGGCATAACGCTAATATTTCACTGATATTGGCGTAAATATAGAAGTAGAAGTATCTTAACAGCCTAATTAAGATCTAGCCTAATTTAACCAAAAAGATATTATAAACGTTGTTATCATAACATCAAATACGTTATCACTTGCCGGCTTTCATTTGTCACTTGTCAGTGTCAATGCCAAACTTTAGTGAAACTCTAAAATAAAGTTTAAAAACAAATACTTAAAATGACTGGCTCATTAATTTTTACTTCAGGTTTAAATTGATTTGAATGTAAAGTTAATTTTAAAAATATACTACAATGGTGTCTTTGCCGAATTCAAATCCGATGCAAAAAAAGTGACCTTATAAAGATATTTTACTCTTACACTCCTTGCTCCACTGCACGGCCTTACAGCTCTTTGCCGCCTTATGTCACCTGTCATTGTCATTGTCTTGTCAACCAAGTTAAGTCGGGAGCAGTTTAAGCATATATTTTCTATTTATAAATTATCTTTTAATATAAATTATGGCTATATTACATAGAGCTCTTTTTACGTGGTTTATATTTTTAGTATTCTTAATTTTATTATGTCTGAGATTAGAGTCAAGAACGCACTGGAATTGGTTTATAGTATTTATACCGATGTGGGTATACGATGGCATATTACTTATTTACGTGTTGTTTCACATGGTTTCCCACTGTCGAAATGGTATAGAAAGATTTAGAGGCACGATTAATAAAAATATTTGGTATATTGCTGCGATTGGACTCAAAATGGCGGCACAAATAATAATATGTATAAAATTAGAATACACAAAACTATATCTTCCTATTTACGTCGTAATGACGCCTATTTGGATGTTATTGCCGGTATTATGTGTCGAAGTGTTTATGCACCTTATAAAGCATTCAAGCAGAAGTAGTCGTTATTAGTGAAGTAACAAAAATGGTTTACAAACATTTATCAGACTTATACATATATGAAAAACATGTGACCTCGTGAATGGTAGATAATTTTAAACTTGGCACAGATTCATTGACACAGGGTATGTTTGCAGTATAATGTCATAGTCTTGAATGCTTCAAAACTGATGATATAATCATCCTGTGTAAAGTATTGTGTTATTAAAATGGCATCAAATATTGCAATTGTAAAGGATTCCATTGTCAAAGAAGTGCCTGCAGGTAGCACTGCTGTTCTGAATTGTAATAGCAATGATTATGCCCACAATTTTATGTTTTGGCTTGTCAATAAAACAAAAGTAATTGGCCCTGACAATGACTTTGATGAGCGGAAATATAAATATAATGTTTTATCGGGAAAACTAAAGATAAATGTAAGTATAACACTGAGAACTTAAACTTTTTCTTAAATGTAATTTTTTTATAAAGAAAAATAACCAATGTTTGTTCTCTGCATTTCATAACTACTGAATAATTTGTAATAAAAGCATATTTCTGTTGAATTGCTGTCTTTTAACATTCTTAATTAAATGTGCAAAAAAGAGGAAAAACAAAATTCTTAAATTATTTTTTTAAATTACAGAATGTATCGCCAAGTGAATCTGGCCAGTATGTATGCTTATCAAAACATCTTGATGGTTCAAAAATCTCAGCCGGTGAAGTAGAGATGATAGTAAAAGGTTCAACATTCTCAGCGATAGATGCAGTGAAACTTGTTGCTATTGTGGTGTCTATCATTGTCATCATTGGTTGTGCTGTTATTTATTGGCGACTAAGGAAACAATGGAGAAAGTATGATGGACGGACAGTTGTACCAGGTATGTTTCGATTTAAACATTTATAAACTTACTAGCTTTTGCCCGCGCCTCCATTTGCGTAGCGTTAAAAAAAAACAAAAGTGAGTAGCCTATGCATTCTTAACAATGCTCTACATGTATGCCAAATTTCATTGAAAATCATTCAGCCATTTTATATACAAACTTTAACAAACATCTATCCATCTAAACTTTCGCATTTATAATATTTGAATTAATTTAGGTTGATACTAAAGTATGTATGCTCTTCTGACATTTAAGTCATAATGTTTTCCAGTGGATGAAGTTGAAGAGGAGGATGGGGATGAAATTTACAACCGCACCACAAAGGCCATCACTCCAGTAGCTGGACCCAGCAGGAATGTATCATCTGAACATTTATTGTATGGCATAGACAATCAGGGCCTTGACACTGATTTTAATTCAGTGTTTGAAAATATACAGATAAAAACACCAAGCCCTAGTCTTATATAAAATTCTATTTATTATTTATATTGATTTCTAACTCTTCAATAGTACTGTAGTTTTAATTCAGTCAGAACATTTGCAGGCACATTTTAATGTAACTTGTAAGTATTAAGAATAGTAATGTAAAAATATTGTATTATTTATATTCAAGAATAAATATAATATTAATGTTTTGGTTTCATTAAACTGCTGATGCAAAAATGGGATTACTTTAATGACCAATGATCTATTTACTTAGCAAATTATTTTACTTTAAGTTGCAGCCTCAAATGTTATACTTTATATAGCAAAATTACATTAATAATTATGTAAGTAAACCAATATGTTTCATGTATGGTTTAATACTATTTTTTAGTTACTTAGGTTTTGAAATAAAATATTTAATATGTATAGTTAAGCTTTTATTACTTAATAATTAATTAAAATCATCTGTAGAAGCATCATGTTTTGTAGGTGTTTGTTGATCACCTGTGTGACTAGACTGCGGAGTAGCATCTAACGTTTCATCCTCTTCATCATCACCATTTACTTCCATTTCGAAAACTCTCACTTTCCTATGACTTTTCGATAGCACCACAGATACCTTACGACCACCGGATACAGCTATTCTAAAACCATCCATTTTTTCAAGTATCTTATAAACACTTTGATCTAAAAATGACGAAATATCTTTTTCATTTGTTTTCTCATTAAAAACACAAGTCTTAGATTTTATGCTCAAATCATTAGCGTTTTCTAAAACAATCTTTACTGGCAATTGAATAAAAATAGAGTTTTCTTCATGGCTTGGATGCCTTACAAGTACAGAAAGGTAGTCTGCTGAATAAAATTGCAGATCCATTATTTCCATAGACTCATCCTCTATATGGCTTTGGTTTGCTTCTTGCAATAAACTTGATGAAAAGTGATATTTTGTTGCAACTGCCGAACATGACTTTTCATTAATTTGAATTGACATAAAACATAACTTATCAGGTGCATTCCTCTGGTCTACTAAACCCATCACAAATCTATCTTGATTTGAATCATAGGTCTGTGAGATTCTTAAGGTTTTTTCTGGATTTGATGAAATACCTCGATTTTCATAGCATTTTGTATTATAAATGACGGAAAAATGTTTGCCTATATTTTTTCCAGTAACATCAAACACTTGATTAATTGCATCCTTCAAGTATTTTTGTTGTTGAACCAAAGAAAATTTTCTAAATTCAGTCATTGAGAATATCGTATCACTGTCATTCACCAAACACGAATTATCTTTAAGGAACTTATGCCATGGGTTATCTTCATCATCAGGAAGAATTGTTAAATCTTGATCTTGTAAATACTGTCCTAATCTTTCTAGATTAAATTTCACAGGTTTCTCTGATGTACCGTCACCTTCAGTCTGTACATTATCGAAATTGTATAAAAGCTCAGCTATATGAGTGAATTCTTGTTGAGTCATTTTGACAATCTCACAAGGTGTCTGTTCATCAAGTAAACGGATTATAACTACAAATAGCCATCGAAAGAATGCCTTGTAGTTCCGCATTGACACATCAATGACTTGCTGTAATTCTAGGCATTTGTTTAAAAATGCACAACATGCTCTGATTGATCGAGTAACAGTGGTCTCATCCAAACCGAGAATCTAAAAGAAATTACACATTAAATAAAATCTCAAAACCATTCATAATTTTTTAAATAAAAAGAACATTTATTATTACCTTAAATCTATCTGGTATTCTAGTAAGTCCTCTTATATCTGAGAGGTAATAAGATAAATTGTGTCCAACAATATTTAGCTGTTTAAGAACAAGCTTTTGTATGGTAGAGTAACTTAATTCCACTGAACTGCCAAACTTTTTTAAACCTTTTGATGTCAACTCTTGAAGTAAGAACAGTTCAAGTTCATCGGAGGGTACACCTAAAATTTGATATTAAAAAATAAATTATTAATAATAATAACTCCAAAATAAAACCTGTTGTTAAAAACATACCTAACATAAGTAATTCCAATAGATCAGCTGAAACTCCCCCTTTAGGAACTGATGAAGCGTAATGAGCCATCTTTGAATCCATTTCAAGTAAAATATGTTCCCAAGCTTCAGTTATTGAAATCATTGTTTGATCAAGGTGTGACAATAATTGAACAATTTGACAATGTTTATTTGCCACCACAAACAATTCTTCAGAATATGCTGACAATACACTTGTATTTATTACTGACATGTATACATTTTTGGTGACCTTGTCTAAATAAAGAACCTGCATGACACTAAAATCATGAGACAAGTTGATGTCTAGAATTTTATATTCTCCACATTCATCATTAACTAATTCTGCCAAAAGTATAGTGCCATATGGATATCGACCAAATATGCTCATGTAAATATTCCCATTGCCATATCCAATCAGTAACATGCTCAACTGTGATGGTTCTGGTATTTCTTTATATGATTTAACTGTATCATCAGAAACTTGATTTTTATATGAAGTGCTTGGAGAAGGTGGTTTTCTCAAGAATATAGTTGCATCATCCTGGAAATTTAAATAGTTACAAAGGTTAATAGGACATCATTATTATACTGTGACAACACTAATAGCCAAATACTAAAATGTTACTGCTTACTAATATAAATGCAAAAATTTAGTTGGGTAAATGGATTGAAGTTTGGTAGAAGATATCTCCCAAATGGCTGAACAGATCTGAAAAGACTGAGGTTGCTGATCATTAGACATCTTTCTATTCATCAACACAGTTGTTAATTATCCAATAATACTTCTTACTTACTTATACTTCTATAAAGTTTGCCAAAGTTAAACTTACATAAACATTGTATTCTGTTGCACTCTCTAACACTCCAGCTTTAACAGCCCAAGTGATGCAAGAAATGCCTACAGGCTTACAATCATATGGGTCTTCTGGATTTTCAGCACTAAAATCATATTTGTCTAAAATCTCTTTGTCCTCAATATCAACAACATAGACAATACCAAAACTGTAACCAATTGCCAATGCCTGAAAGAAAACAGGAAAATAAAAAACAATTATTATTTACCACAGCGAATTATTAAAATTAAGAAATGACCAATGAACTTTATACCTTGCCATCAGGTCTCCATGCAATACTCTGTACGGTTACATTTTCTTTTGGGGCAGGTAAACTCCACACTTTTTGCCAATGTAATCTATGTACTTGAACTTCACCTAAAATATCAGATATGTATGTCAAATATAGAAAATTTCACGAACATCTTATGGTTTTAATTGTTTATAATTTGTTTTGCTTTTACCTTTGAAATTGCTAATAGCTACTAAATCCAGCCGGTTACTCCAAACCATTAAATCTACCTGATAAGTTACATGTCGTTCTTCTACTTGTCTCATTGCACAATTAAACATTTTTTGTTTATATCTAAATATAACAATATAGTATTTCGTTTGTCTCCAGAGCAAAATTTAAAAATGTAACGAGCAATAATTTGAGTTGTTTAGCTCGACATTGACATGTTTTTTATCAGCTGTCATTTATTTTTCTTTTGTCATTTGCGCTCGGTGTTGCCTGTACTTGATAGTTGAATAAGAAATCCGTTACAAATCTGCAACACATTGTAACGATTTTCAAAACGCCTTCCCTTTAAAAACTGCGTTGATAACTTGCGTACTTAAAAAACGTTATTATGTTGGAGAGATGTTGCTAATTATCGTTTTTTTTTTCTGATCCATTCCACCCTTGTTCACCATCATCATCATCATCCACTTACCCTTATCCCTTATGGAGGGTCGGCACAGTATGTGCTGCTCTTCCATACATCTCTATCAGCCGTCATGTCTGAATCCACTCCTTTCCTAAGCATATCCTCTTTCACACAATCCATCCATATGTTCACCGTTAAGAATATTTTTTAACGCGTTTTAAGAAGAATCAAATATCTTTAAGCTTTAATTTCATACAGCAGACAAGATAAAAAAAAAAACTATTAACCTTGCTATAACATATAAAAACTGTGAAATCACCATTTAAACTTACTTTCAAATACTTTGATTTGTTAGTAGTGTAGTTCTATGTAAATCTTAACCTTAGGAGTATTTCCTCTCATAGAAATATAAAACATTTTTCACTGGATTAAAAAAGTTTAAAATTACAAAGATCTTGTAGAGGGTATAAACATTAACAGATATAAAAACCTTAACCCAATAGTATATTCAATGACTATACTAGACCTTACATTAGGTAAAGACTACATATTGATAGCAATTGATTTCTTTTTACAATTAATGATCTAACAAATCATTCTTATGTTTTATTTACATTGATACAACTGTTGTCATCACAAAACATTGGCCAACCTGGTTGGGTAGTCCATTTAGATTTTGGTTATCTAATATTCTTCAATTCTTCCAAAGGGCCTATTAAAAAAAATAATAACCATTGCCAAGCAACTACCAAGTCAGGCAGGCCTATTTTATTAGTTAGCAAATGTTGCCTCATGTAAAAATGTGTGAAGTAAAAAAACATTTCTTCCCATTTTATAACGGGAGATACCAAACAAACACTAGGAAATATGCACTAAATGTTAAATTTAAATATTTTAATAAAATCGTACATGTTCAATAGAGCCTCACTATTTCAACAGTTAAGTAGTACTATTTTCACAACACTTACACATTTTAAAGTTAGGCCGTAGTCCAAGTCAGTGGCACATAATAGCTAAATTAATTTTATTCCAAAATATTAATAATTTAAAAGCATAAAAACAATTTTTAATCCTAACAAAAGATTAAAGAATTACTTGAGCTTACGCTTTCGCGCTTTGCATCATTTACAATGCTATATACCTAAAAATTCACCAAACTCCTGACTAAGATTATGCTCTTCAAGAAATTTAGAAAATGCAGTTTTACTGTTAGATAAGTGAGTTTGAAAACTAACTTCCTGAAAGTCCTTAAATTGTTGTTGTTTCTCTTTTTCCTTTATGTCAAAAACTTCAGATTTCCTTATAGATATTTTTTTCCAATTCAATGCCTTTATTTCTCTCCACCATTCTGAACAGTCTTTATCAATTCCTTCAATACATATAATGCCAGGTTTTCCAGGTAAACAAAATCCAGTCAGATTTAGTTCTTTACACTTATCAATAATTTGCTCTCTTTTATATTTACTGTAGATGTGATGTGAAAAAATCCATAGCCTCACAAAAGTGATATCTTTATTATTCAAAACAGTCTGTGTGGGTTTGGGCACATTTTGAGCTATCATTTTAAAATTTTCAATATTTTCTTGTAGCCATGAAATGGCTGTATATAAGCATACTTCATTCTCATGAGATATTTTAATGTATGTTGATAGCTCTGAATTTAAATTAGTTTCTTGTTGTCTATCTAACTGGTTACACCTTACATATACATCTGGCTCTTCTTCTGGGTAAAGTGTTGGTAAGTTAACATATATCTCTAGTTTAAAACCATTAAGATGAATTTTCAAAATGAAATCAAGATGGTTAGGAACATTAAAACTTTCATTTTCCACAAAATGTTTGATGTCTTCGAGCACACTGTTATCAGTTATGATAATTTCATTCTGATTGGGATACATAGATTTTAATAATTCCAATTCACTTAATTGTTTGTTTAAATTAATGATTAACATATCTTTTACTGATTGATCAGACTCCATATTTCCAATTGATAAACTTGATAGTAAAACATGTATTTCCACTTCTTAAAAAGAGTTCAAAGCAAACATATGGCTTTTATTGTAATTTGTAAACACACAATAAATGACAATTGACATGACAAGTAAATACTATAAGATAGCCTGTGCCTCTTTTTCCAGACCTTTTCCCCTTTTCCCGGTATTTTTCTTCAATTATTTCCATACCAAAATCGTTAAATTTATGATCTAAAAAAGATTAATACGTCTAGTTTATTAAGTCCCCTATTGCACGAACTAAATGATATATTAGAAATCTTTGAGGTTTTAAAAATCCTTCCATGAGTTCCGTCCGCAGTTTTCATAAACTATGGAAAGGAAATGTCATTGATTGTCAATGTCAAATGCCAACAAATCTCTGAATTTGCTTGCTGTTGTAAATTAGAATTAGAATATTGAAATAAAATTCTAAAGAAGGACTTTACCTGTTATTACCGTAGTAATAAAATCTGGGTATTATGGCTTCGCCCCTGGAGCAATTTGTTAATAATGTTAGAACATCATCAGCTGCAGGTGAGTTAAATACTTTTGTACTATTGTTATACCGGTTTGTAGTTTATATTTCTTTTTGATGGTTACTTGTATTTTCGATGTGATTTATATTAGTCTAAGTGAGGTTTAAAATCGAAATGTTTGTAGGTCATTTTAGAGATCTCCTAGAATTAATAGGAAAGTCAGATGAAGTCCTACAAAGGAATGCAGCTCACCTTAACACAGTGTTGGAGACCCTTAACGTTCAGCAGCATTCTCTTGGTGTGTTGGCTGTTCTTGTCGCTAAATATTCCAATCCACAGGTTAGTAGTGTGTTTGATGAACTTTATTGTATGTGATGAAAATTATCGAAATACAAGACTCTGTCCGCATGGAATTCAAAAAACAAAAAAAGTAGCCTATGTGTTCTTTCCGACTATCACCTACATTCATGCCAAATTTTTTGAGATCCGTTTAGTGGTTTAGGCCACAAACTCTAACAAACATCCATCCATCCATCTAAACTTACGCATTTATAATATTAGTAAGATATCTATACTAGCTTTCGCGCGTGACTTCGTTTGCGTGGATTTGAAACATCAAAAGTAAATAGCCTAGGTGTTCTTCTACACTATTCTATTCTACTATACATCAATACCAAAGTTCATTAAAATTCATTCAGACATTTAGGCTACAAACTCTAACAAACATCAATCCATCTAAACTTTCACATTTATAATATTAAATATAAATATGAAAAGTATGATGTATGTAATAAGCTGATTTGACAAGATGAAAACTATGTTAATACATAATTTAAATTGCTGTTAATTTCGATTTAACTATTGAAGATATATAAAAATTTAAATTTTTTATTTCTAGGGAACAAATGAAGTGGATAAAACAAATATGTACTCAAAGATTCATGACTTTATTACAAATTGTAACGGTGAACAAGTACGCTTAGCGCCTGATTTGTGTAAGTTTTATTTTATGCTAAAAACAAAAAATCACTCTTAATCAGATTAAAAATAAGTCCCAAAAATATGTTCATAGCATTCTTGTAATAATACTGCAGTATGTTCATATAAAAAAGTCTGTCCTTTTTTAACTCTTCACAGTTATTTTTTAAAACATTTTATAATAGCTGTTGCACCCAACTTGTCTGTGTGAAATTAAAAAAAATTTTAAAAACTAGCTTTCGCCCACGACTCCGTCTTTCGGAATTAAAAAAACAATTTCCTATGTGTTCTTCCAGATTATTCTCTATATCTATGCCAAATTTCACCGAACTCCATCCAGCCATCTAGATTACAAACTCTAACAAACATCCATCCATCCATCTAAACTTTCGCATTTATATTAGTATGATATAGCCTGTGTTACTCGCCGATAACATAGCTTTTTAATGGTAAATAGCTTCAGTATTATTTGATTTACTTCAATACATACAAAAATATAAATCTATCCTTTTTATAATACTAGTATAAACTAGAATAGATAGAGCCCATGGGACTTACAAGACAATGTAGTATTTTAATAGAGAAAGAATCAACATCAATCTAGTAGTTTTTGAGTTAAATTAAAATTCCAGATGCGGAGCTGTGCCATCAACTAACAAAACATCTTATTGAAATTAAACAGCCAATTAGGGGTATAGAATTATTGAAAAAGGCCATCAAGAAAATACAGATGTTTGATTCTCAATTAACTTCAGTGCATGCGGATCTGTGCAAATTGTGCCTGTTGTCTAAATGCATGAAGCCAGCTCTTGAATTTCTAGAAACTGATATTACAGGAATCGGATCAGAGGTGAGCATAAAAATTTTATCTCAATCAACTAAGGTAAGGTACACATTTAAATTAAATTTTATCAATATCAAGTGACTGTTGGTCACATTTTAAGATATAAAGAAACAATAAATATTGAGAATTTAACGTAGTCTTCCTCTCTCTCTCTCTCTCCTTATTTTAATGAAGAAGTGTGCTGCTTTATTTCCATGATTTCGAATCATTAAACAATAGCATATATTTAAATGCATATTGTGACAAATATTTGAAATTTCTTTCAGCTCGGCGGTAACAATGATTCAAAGCATTTTCTGCTTTATTATTACTATGGAGGTATGATCTATGCTGCAATGAAGAATTATGACCGTGCTTTGTACTTCTTTGAAGTAGTTGTTACAGTTCCTGCGTTAGTTGTTTCACATATAATGCTTGAGGCATACAAGAAGTACATTTTAATCTCATTGATTTTACATGGAAAGGTAATTAAATATTTATAATTTTATGCGGATGAAGTCTCACAAGAATAGCTAGTATCTTATAAAAGTAAATTTTCGTTTTTATTATTTCAATAATGTTACTTATCATTTACATTATTTTCAGATGCTGACAATGCCTAAATATACATCCCAAGTTGTGTGTAGATTCCTGAAGCCGCTGTCAGTGGCATATCATGAACTGTCCACCAGCGAACATGCCGCAGTAAAACACAGGGAGACATTCGTACGAGATAAGAATATGGGTTTAGTTAATCAGGTAAGTACAATGTAAATCTACTCTATGTAAATACTACAAAAAAAAATTGTATGAACTTCCTTTTTCAATATATTGTGGTCTACTATAGCTATTGACCCTGATTGTAGTTTTTTTTTTATTTTTAACAGCTATTTTTGATATTTTGAATTCCCACGTACGAAAAAAACCGCTTAGAACGTCTCTCGTTCAATCTTCTTTGACCGGGTATTTTATTTAAGGTTAGGAATTTTATTAGCAAGCATTCAATGTAACGGAAATTAAAAAAAGTTTGTTTTTTCCTTTCCAGGTGCTAAACTCAATGTATAAGAAAAACATACAAAGACTGACTAAAACTTTCTTAACATTATCCCTAAGCGATGTCGCGTCCCGCGTACAGCTGACTGGGCCTGCGCAGGCCGAGTCTTATATACTGAACATGGTAAGTACTTACTATTTGTCACATTTTAAGAAAACTAATTATTACACACTACACAAACAAGGAACACATACTAGCTTTTGCCTGCAACTTCTTCTGAGGGATTTAAAATCGTTATTGTTTTTTATTTTTAAAATTATGTATACTAAACCAGCAGTTGCTTGCGTCCGAGTGATATCCAGAAATAATAAAAGCCATATTACTTACTGAAAAGAAAGTTCTTAAATGGTGAAAAAAATTTGGAAATCTGCATAGAAATTTTTAAATTCTAATACAAAAACACGAATCTTTTCTCTTTATGATAGTACTGGCTTTCGTCCGCGTGAAATAATAAAAAAAAGTGAGTAGCCTATGTGTTCTTCTAGATTATCCTCTATATCACCAAATTTCTAGATCCTCTCACCCGTGAAAGCTACAAACTCTAACAAACATCCATCCATGTAAACTTTCGCATTTTTAATATTAGTATGATATATATAGATAAGAATTGCAATTAATTACTTGTGTACTTCGTAGTGAGTGTAAATGTATATTGTTACTGTTATTGTTATTAATGTGAGTGTAGATAGAGGAGGGCGAGATCTACGCGATGGTGAACCAGAAGGACGGCATGGTGGTGTTCCTGGAGAGCCCGGAGAAGTTCGCGTCGCCGCAGACGCTGTGCGTGCTGGAGCAGCAGATGGCGGCCTGCACCAAGCTGCACCACTACATACAGGAGATGGACCAGCAGATACAAGTCAACCCTCAGGTACAAACGCCAATAGCCTAATAGTTTCAGGTACGGACTACTGAACTTCCGGTCGAGGGTTCGAATTACATAAGCCTTGAGCTTATTTGGAGTGGTTAAAGGAAATATTAGTAAATTAATAAAAACCTACTATTTTATTATTTAAAAAAATTACATTCATCGCAACTACCAAATACTGAAACTTCAAATGAACTTCAAACTGAAATTCACTGAAAAAATTACTTATACATTTTACGTTATAAATTGTGGTGTGGTAATGACCAATTTACAATCTATGCCTATTATTAAGAAAGATTTTTTATGTATGGATGTAACTCAAACACTACTGGGCCGATTAAAAAAAAATCTTTCACCATTAAAAAGCTATGTTGTTAGTAACATAGGATATGATTTTTCATTATTTTTTAATTGCCTGGGCGGGCAGCAAATCTTAAATATTTTTTAAAGAAACAAACTCTTTACTATGAAAATAAATTGACTACCGCATAGACTACCACACTCAATGAAGTGGTTCTCGTTATTTTCTTCATACTACGTCTACGCTAAGGTCCTCCCTTAGTGATTCAACTTTGGAGGGATTAGGATTATTGACAGCTGCACTAAATACAAGAAACTTAAACTTAACAATTGTTTTAAGTAATGAATAGTTAATCGCATATTATGAAAATGAATATTTTGTCTTTCTAGTACGTAAAGAAGTCAGCAGGGAGTCACGACGAAGACATGCCAGCGACAAGCCAGAATTCAAAAACAACATATTCAATGTAAATAACAATATATTTCCAAAACAAGTGTAACAATTTAGTACATTAAAGCATCTCATATATATTAGCATTTTAATTTAAAAACATAAAAAAAAACAATCCCATTCCCATTTTTTAAAGAGACTTCTATTAGAGTGCTTCATGAACAGCCTCAGTGAATGCAGACATACTCTCCAACGGCGTTTGTGGTGTTATCCCGTGACCTAAATTAGCAATATATCTTAGTTTTCCGAACTTTTGGACCATATCTATTGTCATCTTCTTAATTTCATCCTGAAGGAAAAAAAAACAAGTAAAAACCTCATTTTTGGAAGTCAGTTAACAATATATAAAGTCAGTGACTTTGTAGGAGTTAAAAACTTAATGGGTAGTTTGTATTCTTAGAGACTGTTCTACATCTGTGACAAATTTCATTAAGATTTGTTTAGCTGTTTCAGAGATACCTTTTAACAAACAACCATCCATCCATGTATATAAACATTCACATTTATATTACTAGAAAGATTAGTATTTTAGTCGCTTTGTCTGGGTACTGTCAATATGATTACTTTTTTTTTAAATCTTAATGTTATCCCTACTCAAAGATAAAAATGAGTATAAAACGTAATTTCTCTTTTGTATTCTGTAATAATTTATAAACAAAGTTTTCATTTAAATTTTTAAGCAGTGCAATATGATGACTTTAAGATATAACTATCATTTCAAAATTAAACTTACTGGAGATTTGTATAGGTCTTGTGGGTCTAGATTTCCTTGCAGTGTGATATTGTCACCTACTGTTTTCCTGGCCTCCACAGGGTCCACCGTCCAGTCTAGACCAATTGTTTCATATCCTAATGTTGCTTGGATGTCTAAAGAATGTCCTCCGCCTTTTGCAAACACTGTCTGTAAAATAAATTGCATTACATTTAATATGATAAAATTAACAAAAATCTTATGTTAAATGATAATGAAAGTTGCTGAAATATGAAATAAATTACTAGCAATTTTGAAAAATTGCATCTTTTACAAGTCGCCATACTTGCGTCCTTAACAAGTTGTATTGTTCAAGTTGTAATTTTGGAATTAAATAAATATTATTATTATCTTTTAAAGCAAAAGTTAATTTTTCTAATATTACCATAGGAACTTGTTCCAATTGTTTCTGTTCAAGTTTTTGTTGAACTCCGCTCCTTATATCTTTTAAGTAAGGAGCTGAAACTTCTGCAAACTGTTCCCTTGTCAGATGGTCCGCGCTTGATTCAAATACTTGTAGTAACTGAGCTCCACTTTCTACCTTTAAAATATAAAAGTTTACTAAAGAATACATATATCCTGCTTCAAATGCTTAGGTCTGACAGATTTAAATGAACAATTTGGCTATTCAGTTAAAACTGTCAGAACTGTGCATATGTAATTGGTATTAGGATTGTACAAGTAGGGAATATTTTATGATAAATGCTGATGCATATTTGTGTACTAAGCAGATTTTTTTTCTTGGCCCATATTTGGAATATTTTCATTATAAGTTAATTCTATATGACACATTTAACATTTTTTTGGTCTACTTTTTTAAAGATTTTGTAGCCTTCATTTAAAAAACACGGAAGAATAACATGTTTACAAGATATCTGGTTACTAAAATAATCAGTTAATGTTAACAAAGGTTATCTGTTCTCATGCAGTTGTACTAATTTAAATGTATGCCTTTAAAGTTTTGAAACATCTAAGAATATTTACAAAATCAATACAGCTTCAAATTTTTAACACATTAAAAACCACTTACTTGTTTTTCAAGTAAAATTTTATACAAAAAATGTAAGAATGAAATGTATTAAAGCTTATTACCTGCATAACTAAATAATCAATTATAACTCTTGTCAGCAAACTAAGCAGTTTGTGAACATCTTTTGGATATTTTTCAAGCCATTCTTTGGTCTTAGACATTGTTTTACTTCCACCACCTTCTATCATGTATCCCATTAGTGTGAACTGAAAAATAATAAATATTAAATCACTTCCTTATACTCTTGCATCTAAATGTGTTCAATAAAAAGATACAGTGAACTTATAAGTCTTTGCAATGATAGAGAAGCAAGCATAAGTAAAAAGTTTAATTTCTCTCTCCTTTTAATCAATTAACAAATAACATACAGGTGCTCCAGTAAATCCAATCAAAGGCACTTTGCCTTCTATTTTATGTCTTGTTAATGTTATCGCATCTCCAACATATGTTAGTCTGGAGACAGCCCCATCCTCTTGCAATTGATCTATTTCACTTGGACTTTGCAGGGGGCTCGGGAACACTGGACCCTGTGATTGAAAAGTTACATTGCAGTAATGAAAATTAAAAAAAAATGAACATGTTCTCAAAAATATACTTAATGATTTGCTTACCTTACCAGGATGCATTTCTACAGTCATACCAAGAGCTTGAGGGATAACAAGTATGTCACTAAATATAATTGATGCATCCAAATGTTCATAGCGTCTTAAAGGCTGGAGTGTAACTTCACATGCCAGTTCAGGAGTCCGACATACAGTAAAGAAGTCATGTTGTGCTCTAACCGCCTGGAATTCCGGCAGGTAGCGGCCTGCCTGACGCATCACCCATACCGGTACTTTATCTACTTCCTTGCCTGTAGCTGCTCTTAATAATCTATCATTTTTTAATGCAGGAAAGTCCTAAAAAAGTAGAAAATTTTTACAATAGCGCTGGACAAATACATTAAAGTTAAGTCTCATTTCATAAGTAAAGTAAAACATATTTAATTTTATTTAAGACATCAGAAATTTAATATTTAACGCGAAAACTTGTGAACTTACCTTATTTGAATAAACCATTTTAGAAATCGAGTTTTTTAAGTACCAGTTGACTCGTAAATATATGTTAAAAGTCTTCCCCGTAAATAGTTATCAAACTGTTATCACTTTCGCCGGTAATTAAAACTCATTTAAACGAAAAATTCATTCAATTTGTCTAATCATGTCATTTTGACGTTTTGGTAGACGATTGGTGTTTCCACATGAGGAAAACTAATTTTCCCAGATTTAAAACTTCCTGTATCTACTTAATTTTACTATGAAAAAAGAAGAAAACTCTTTGTAAAGAAACAGCGAAGAAATATTAATATTAATTCAGTTTCAAATTGTTAGAAGTAATGAATTAAGAAAACTGACTTCTGTGATGAATTTGTTTTGCGTTCGTGTCATGGATTGTCTAGATTTTCCCTCAAATTTTGTAAAAACAAAAAATCTGGAAACACTTCATTAGTGAATGTCATGTTGTTAAGGTATTGCCAGTGACTATATTTCTCTGGTCTAAAAACTTTGTTTTCAATTTAAGGCACGAGATGTCATGATTTCAATGTTCATGATTTTTAGGTGGTAGACAAACATTAAACCAAATCTCTAATATAGAATAGAAACTGTATATTTATTGCACATTACATTGTATATTTGGTATGTAAAGTATTTATTTTTTTCCCTTATATCTTAACTTTGTTTGCGACTTATTCTGTACTTTGCCTTTGCTATTTTTTAATATTTAATTTAGCTACATTCCTAGATTTGTTTTTTTCCGCACTAACGAAGTCGCGAGCAAAACCTAGTAAGAAATAAAACGAAGGGAGTTTAATGTCGCACAAACCTTCACAACGTTTCTTATCACACGTAGGTACTAAGTAGGAACTCATTTAAGCGATCTTGGTTAATAAGGTAAAAGTTGTGCGGTTTCGGCGATACCACCTACTTTATAGGATTATATTTTATTTTTTCTCTACCATATAAGGCCCACTGCTGGGCATAACCCTTCCCCAAAGATCACCAAGATGATTAGTCCTGTGCCTCTCGCTTCAAGGATAAATTTTATTTGGATGCAAAGGACAAGCGATGTTAACATTAGTACTCATACATCATATTGCTTACCCAAAAACTGATTTAGATTACATTATACAAATACATTTGAATGTTACAGTAATTTTAGAAATAATCAAATTTACATGCATGGGTCCACTACATCAGGTCTCGAGTGGTTCAAAGTTAATCCAATAAAAGGATAAAAAGTAGATAGGGTCGTTAAATATACAAAGTTTGCGAGTGGAGCGTTCGTATCTACCTGCCGTCGCATTTCTATCAAAACGTAAAAAAATCGAATGAGAGGGGTCCGCCATACTTTTTGTTAACGTTCGCAGCGACACAAGACGACCTTTCACTGCGATGTATTTTTTGTGTCTCAAACCTTTATCCCGGTCTCCTAATAAACTTTATTCGCTTCGAATGAACAGTGATGTAGCTATTTTGTTAGTTATGACTTGCGCTTGTTTTTCTCCATCGATCTATAGATTTGCTTCGCTCCAAGTCGATTTTCGATTTCATACAGATATTGACTTTTTTACCGGAATATTATTCTATTCTGTTTGAATGTTTCGCTTGTCTGTATAATATAGGTAATCTAACTTAAGACAGATTTTTACCTAGGCACGGAATGCTTTACTAGTTTATTAGAGCAATTTAAGATCATAAGGTGAACACATTTATAGGTCAGTTGCAATTCGAAAATGTTATTGGTAGGTTGTAATAGGTTAGAAATTAGAATTGTTTTTCTCTTGTCTTTCCTTAGAATCTAGACTAGACCATGTTCATGACTACTAAATAAATTCATAAAAGTGTAGCTTCAGGAACATTTAAATCGTCTAGTCAAGTTATATATGTACTTAGTTAAATAGAAATGTCCAGAAAGTCGTTGTTTTTGTATGCTGTAAAAAAGTTTGGTACTTTTTAAAGTTTGCGAGATATCAAAACATTTTTTTTACGTCAATTCAAGTCGCAATCCGCAGGTGAGTGGTGACCTGCGGACACAGGTGCCGCTGTGACTTGTGCATTCTTTGTGCTGCGGTGAGATCCCATACACCCTATTCATCATACACACAACGCAACAAATGCCATAATCTCGCCGATTTATACCTGGTACATTGGAAAATCGGATTGTAACTTATAACAAGACATGGAAGCAAATCAACATTTATGATGAATTTACGGAAGCACAAACAAAAGAGCTTTGTTTTTTCTTGGGTACCATGAACTGTAAGAGATCTCCTTATTACCGCAACCCATACCTAGATATGTAAATAGCTTTATAGGTAAAATATTTCATTTCTCAAGAGTGTTACATTTCAAACGGCAATATAGATGAAATAAAAAATTTGCTGAAGTTTCTCTTCATTGAGTGAAAAACGACAGGCGCATCTTCTATCACACGACATTCTAATACGGCAGTAATATAAAAAAAAGCATTTTAAGAGCTCTCAGTGTCAATGCAATCAGAAATTTGGATACACATACATTCGCTACCTGTTTATTCCTTTTTCCTATGAAAAGTACGTCGAATTACTAACATCAATAAACGCTTATTATCAGGATTGGTAGCTGATGGTTTTTTTTTAATATTTTACATTTGACACCATTATTATTTATTTCTTTCTATAATTAGCTTTCAAAATGTTGTAGCTCCTGGACTATATATTTTCATTTTTTCTAAATCGAGTTAAATTAGTTATGATATATTGCGATCTAACGGTGTTGTGGGAACGTATCTAATGCAATAGATCAAAATGGTAAAAGAAAAGAAGATTACACGCCCTAATTTGGACAGGACCGTTAGCACAAAAAAGTTTCGCATTTTTTATAACACGACGATAATGGACTGCGTTTCTGCGATTTATTTTTTCGTTTAGTTTTTATGCAAACCGATATCGAAGTTCAGTAGGCCCAGCAGGTACGATAAAACCTTGTTCTGATATCTATATTTTAAGAAAAAACATGAAAAAGACCTAGTGATAAGATAGAATGAGAAAAATAAACGTAGGTATAGGTTTATACTGCAAAAAATCTTCAACATATTTTATAATTTTGTTTTAAAGTCTCTTCTAAATACGTTTACAATTCCAAAGCATATTTTGTATTCAAATTCATTCTATTTATGAGTTTAATTTTTATTATGCATTTAAAAAAAATCTACATTTAAATTGTGGGATTTGAAGAGTTTTCAGTATACAATGAACATCACGTAAGGTAATAAAATAAAAAACAAAAGGAAAACTTAAAAATGTTTAATTAAATCCATCCAAGAAAACATGAATGTGCAAAATAGCAGACTCAATGACCTGCGATACATTTCGTGAGATAATACGGTCTGGGGCTAGCGGAGTGTGGTCATGAACACCTTATCAAACCAAAGCACGAACATTTTTATAGTTTTAAAACATATTTTTCCATTTCACACATTATGCCAGCCAGTATTGTATTAAAAATAAATACTTTGACCTTTTTACTGTAGAAAATAGATATGTTTTTTTTATATTAAGAAATGAAGTAAATAATAATAAGGACGAATTCATAAATATGGAACCAATTCTTTAACTATATTCATAAAGTTTAATTAGACTTTTGAATGTTTGTCTTTTTTAACATGTTCTTTTTTTTTACTAATATTCTGTTTTTTGATAAAAAAAAAATTTGCTAAATTGTACACAGATTTTTTTAAATATCGTAACAATTACATACATCGTTACTACAAGTATAAAAATATAAGTTTCCGGAGTTAATGGAAGCAATATCTGGTTGGCAGCAGGAGGAGGAGGAAGGTGCAAGTGAGTGCGGGGCAATAGCGAACAATTGTCACTAATGCAGGCCTCAATTTATTTACGAGACAGCGGCTAGGGGCGCACTGGAACATAGTCGTAAAAGTACGATGGAATAGATAACATTCATTAATATTTTTATATCTTTATTTTAAAAAATTTGACTATCCAAGCTGAAGACTAACATTAATCCACATAACATTGGATTCATCTTATCTAAATAAGCCTTTGTAAGAAATGCACTAAAATATAATGACTCAATAAAATGATAAAGAAGCATTTACATATTTAATTCTGTATAATTATAAAAGGTTATGAAAAGTTCGGTTAATATTGTGATGAAACTAAGCACGTAGTTGCAATCATAGGTTAACTAGTCAAGTCAAATAGAACTTACATTGTACTTGCTAATTAGGAAGTAGTGAAAAAGTTGTGTTCTATAAAACTTGGTAGCCTCGTTGCTATGCATATGGTGGTACGGATCAAAAAGAATTCATTAACATTACAAAAACAGAATAAAGATTACAATAGGCAGTTTAGCGCGTACGTGAACGATTAAGATTCCCAGTGGTTCGGATCAACAGCCTCTGAGACCTTAGGCGAAGGTCGATGGCGGAAGCGAGCGCGGTTTTGAGCGACTCCAAGGTTTTCCCTGTGCGCGCGCAAGAGGAGGACATTGACTCAAGCATTGTAAACAGTTCCTTATCTGAGCTTCGCTGCCTCGCGACGCCAGCGCCCTGACGACTGCACGCAGCTTTTATCTAAAACTAAATTGTTACCAGTTGTCGTCCTTTATAAGGCGTGCATAAGGGTTTGATGACCTTTAGCCTTCAAACACTTCAAGACACTTATAAAACTTTTGTTAAGTTATCCTAAAGTGGTCGGTACTTGCAGAGGGAGGGAGGGTCTCCAGTACATTGTAAGATTTATTTTCACTTAACTATGTCACGGCAGATGATGCAAGGAAACCGATAGGAGTGTACATAAAATCAGTTTGGAGAGATTTCACGCGATCATGTTTTCCAAATTATGGATCAATGCAATACTGCATCGCAAATACGTTAGGTAGGTAGTTACAGGTGGAAGTCTTGTTCGTGAACATGGGCAGTCCTTATTAAAAGGTTAAGATAACAAAAGTGAAAAGCAATAAAGAGTTGGTAAAAAAATTATGTCGCTGCACTTGCCAACCGAAAGGAAGGTCGTTAATTTAAGTAGATTAACGTTTATATAAACGGAAGCATGGTCTTGGCTGATATGATCTCGGCATTGGGCGGGTGTACAGATAACAAACCGCCGGTTGATATGGCCAGTAATTTAGAAAGCAGTTTTTTTTTTTCATCGCAACCAGCTGCCCACCCATCAA